CTTTTATAACACAAATGATGTATAATGAGAAGCTCTAAAAAGATGTGGAGCAGGACTGTGCTCAGCACTCCACAACAATTAGGCTTCAAAAAACAGAACAGAGAAAGCCCAAGAAAATTGAGAAGCAGAAATCACCATTTTCTCTGCACTAAGGGCAGAGATGAAGGAGTAGGAAACTGAAAATCCCAAAGCAAACCTCACCACATTTATTTTATTCTTTAAACACACACTATCTTTTTTCTTGACATCATCACAGATTAAATGCATACTACTGTATGTCTATAAAATGCAATGTCACCCTGGGTATAGACCACAGATATAGATCAAATTCTACATATAACGTATATGTGGTCCAGTTACCATCGTGAGAAAGATTTATAAAAGCTACAGGGAAATAAGCACACAAAAAGTGCCTTGCAATAACATTTACTGACAGCAGACTAATAAGGAATTACTTCTAAGTTCACTAATTTTGAAAGCAACAACGTATCTTCTCATATTCTAAAATTATTAATTTGGCACTAAAGACAACAAAACTGAAGGACCGTGTTGAATTATGTATCTTTAAGAGAACTGATGGAGGCAAGAACTATGCATCTTGCACCACACACTTGTCAAGAGTTCCCCAGTTACTTCACACTATTCCTTTCAAGAGCATGATCATGAAAAACAGGTGGTGAAAAGACATTTCTAAGTGGACAAATTTCAAGACAGATATCTCTCGTGATTTACAAAATGTGGTGTTTTTTTTTTCTGGGGGGGTTTTATATAATGGAATCATGAATTATATTAAATCTTATTAGTAGAGCAACGACTGTTCTAGGTAATGTTCCTCCTACAGCTGTTGCTGTAACTGGATAGACAATATTTCTAGTAAGCAGTAGTTCGTCTTACAAAATGAACATTTTGAGTAAAATGGTAATTCCTAAGAAGTCAGTCATGAATCACAGTACTCTCTTTGTATCAGGCAACTACAGAAAGTTCCACTCAAGATGAGGAGCAAACTTTCAGGTATATTGCACCAACCTAGAAAATCATCAAAAATATGCTGGAAAGAAAGAGACCTTTTTCTACTGTCTCAACAGAACCTTGTCTTACTACCACACACTCAGTGTGACAGAAGAAAGCTGCACATCATCCCAAGATTTGTGCCAAAATATAAAAGTTGACAACACTAATTTCTTTGTTAACGTAAATCTCAATACTGCAAGAGATGAGAAAGCTGCATATGCCATGCAGATTATACAATCAAAACTAAGGCTGAAGATTACATTCTTACTGTCAAGGCAGGTAGACAATCTGCCAACTGTAGAAGTATTGCACATGGGATAGCTAACACAACTGTTGTCCAAGTGTCTTCATGGACAGTGAGCTGGGACTTTCCATCTGCCCAAGTGCAGGATTGCTATTCCAGTTGTCTCCAGGAAGATAAGAAAACTTAAGGACTATTTTCACAAATTACATACGTACGCAAAGTGGCCTAGGTCCTGGTCAAGTGGGAAAGAAAGAGGGCAATGATTGCAAACAAATATATTCACATCACATTGTCAGAAACACCAGCTAAATTAGGTACTGCAAACATATAGTTGAAAGTCTGCACACTTCCCTGTCAGTAAATGTGCTTAATGAGCAAGAAGAGGGTAATTAGCAACCTCAATTTGAAAACACAGCATATCTAGAGCATGCTGCAGAGCAACACTTGCACCTGATGAGATCAGGCACAGACCTGAGCCAAGCCACATGTAATCCACTGAGTCCAATGCAAACGTCAGTTTACAGTCACGATTCAAAAACATTTAAATCTTTTGAATATGTACACTTTTTTATTTAACCAGGAGATTATGCTGTATTTCTTGCATTCAACACACATCTATCTTACAGTGCTATCAGCAAAACCAGAATGAGTGTTACGACTTTCCCACTTTTTTTTTCTTCGTTTTACCAAGAGAGTGGTGAGGCTGGAACAGGCTGCCCAGAGAGGTTGTGGATGCCCCATGCTTGGAGGTGTTCAAGGCCAGGTTGAATGGAGACCTGGGCAGCCTGGTCTAGTATTAAATGTTGAGCTTGGTGGCCATGCCTGCGGCAGGGGGAGTTGGAGCTTGGTGGTCCTTGAGGTCCCTTCCAACTGAAGCCACTCTATGATCCTACAATTCTATTATTCTACTAAAAAAAACCAAAAAACAAAAAAAAAAAAACCCACCCACAAAGTATGGTGCCTCGCTGACTCCTCATCAGAAAATTAGCAATATTTCAGAAATCAAAGTAACACTACAACTGAATGCTGGTAATTATTTACAAGACAAATCACTGCCTTCATAAAGTAACATCTTTTATGTTGGATTTGATTTCCATTTCTGGTAAAAATAGTAGAGTTTGTCTTATCAGTTTCCTCTGCAAAAGTGATCCCCATGGAACAAAGACTTTCTATTAAAGTTACAAGGAAAGCTGTCTAATTAGTTGAGATCACTTACAGATGCGAGGAAGAACAGACTTCATACTACAGTTACAGATCTAGTAGCATCAGCTTTAATCTATATAGGTTGCTCCAAAAGTAATGTCTCTTATTTCCATAGAAACTACAATAGACACAAAGTGCAAAATAACACTATTTGATAGAGCAAATGCTCAGCTACAAAATGCTATTTTTCAACAAAGCCACTATCACCAGCTATGCGTTTTCACCCGCAATCAATGAGAGTTTGCATGCTGTGCTCATAAAAATCTGCACCAGCAGAGATGACCTCTTTTGCTGTTGCTATTGCTTAAGTGTACCACCTATCACCTCATTGTGCTTACATCCACTGTTTGGTCTCTATAAACATTCAGCAAACATCAGTGAATATCAGTAGGTGTCATTTTTTCTTCAAGGAGGAATTCAACGATGCACGTTTGCTTCATACGCACTTCCATGTCAGATGTCATTTTGTCAGATTGCCCCTCTGCTGCCTTCTCTTGCACAGCAACAAAACAATGAAATACTGGTGGGAAGGTTCAGTGTCTACTGCCATACCATCTCCATCCACCTCAGACATCATGGGTCAACATAACAAAATAGGAGGCATTATTTTCGGAGTAGCCTTCATAATAACACTTTCCACAAGACCAACAGACTTTACTGGAACAACTGGCCACTACTAATGGGAAAATACACTTAAAACTTCACAGTGCAGGAGTGATCATCACAGTGCTCATCAGCTACATACAGTAGAAGTGGATGGATATTGTTCCTCAAAGAAGTAGAGGATCTACGGAAACCGGCAACGCTACTGCAATACTAATTTAATGAACATGTGCAAGTGAGGCATGCTTTACTGTTAAATTATACCAGTAGGCATCTGTTCCACACAGCTGGGCATTTGGAAGTCAGGGTACTACAGCAATCTAGAAAATTAAGGTTAGACATTTGTGTAAGATGTGCATAATGATGAAACAATGAAACATTTCCTGCATTACACCGAGGGTACCTTCACACAGTTTTTCTTTCATCACAAGAAAATTTAAGAGTGAAGATGCAAAAACATAAGTATAACTGCAACAACATGCCAAGTGGAGAAGATGCGGACAATAAAAGTATCCTTGGAACAGAGGAAAATCATGCTAAGGGTCTTGGGATAATGGGAAAAAAAAGCAACATACATCAAACTGGATAGCAGTGTGTACATGCTAATCCAGTTTTAGGATGATTAGAAACATTTTCCTTACTGAGAGATATCTATCTTCATATCAGATGTTAGTCACTTTTCAGAAGTCCAGAAAGCAGTGGTAACTTCACAAGTTGAATATTTTGTTCAAGTGAACAAAGAAAACAAACACAGAAGGATTGATGCAGAGTATTTAGTGAAGAACATTCTCAAAAATGAGATTAAAGAAAATAAATTAAAAGCTTTGTGATGCTACAATATGTTAATAAAATCTCTTTTCCTCACCTGTTGCTGTCATTCAAAGAGAAGCAGACTCAGAAGGAGTAGGGCGCAATATATTCCTTCCAGGATACACTGGAGCTGAGACAGCAAAGTGAAAGCTTAAAGGTAACCTTCACCCTCCCTCCCCAAAACTATAATTTCAGAGTCATCTGCTTTGGAAGCGTTAGTGATGGATCATTTCCCAAGCCTGAGCTGCAAGCTACTTGAATAACATTCATGATATCCATCTCCCTGTGGTGTTCACATCAATAAAAGTAGATGATAAAAACTAAACACATTACATTCAGACAGTTGAATAAAATGAAATTTTCTCTTCTCCACTCCGTTTTTGCCCCAAACTTTCAAAGCCTTATTTACATTCATACAAAATCTGTTTACAGTCAACTTCACTGTTGAGTTCGTGATATTTTTTTCCATAACCAACTTAGACACAAAGCAAAGCTAGCCAGGTGTCTCTAAACCACAGAGCCAGCTGTTCCTAACCAAGCTCACAGGAAATAGCAAGGAAAATATGCAGTATTTGAAACATCTGGAATAGATTGCAGAGTCTTTGAAAATTGTGTTCCAATTCCCTTCCTCATGCTGATGAGATTTCAGGCTACCAAACTGCTGCATCAACTACAGAATATTAGATAACCCTATGTAACATTTGTCTGAAAGGGAACTTTTCTGAGCTAATGCAGTAAAAAACAAACAAACAAACAAACAACAAAACACATGAAAAGCCAACAAGAATCTGTAGGAAACCTTCTGTAGAATGCATTGGAGCAAACCAAAATAAATCTGTCAGATGACTGCTATTTAATTGAAGGAAATTGACACAGATGGAAAACTGTACTAGTTAACAGCGGCAAACACAGAAAAAAAGAAATCAATACTGCATGCTTTGCACAGTTACATTAACTCATTACAAAGAAATGCTGCTACAGTATGTTGCCATAAAACATGAGAAAAGTAAGAGACGATAGACTGATCTCTTTTGTCAACTAACTTCCTTGTAATTCCACAAATACTGGAGTGTGCGGTTTTCAATATATAAAATAAAAATAAAATTAAAAAAACAAGCCTAAGTCTTAATTAGCAAAACAAAGCACTGTTTTATTATCTGTTTCTTATTTCATAAGGACAATGGATGCAAAAGAACAGAGAAACCAACAGCTAAGTTTAGAAGGAACTTCTACTTAATTTTACTTTCCATAAAAGGCGGGGAAGTGAAGGTGCCCCTAAGGTTTTAATCACTTTCAGTATCTCTGAAAGATTAAGAAAACTAATAATGTAACCAGTTTACATATGCATATTTTAAACATTCATTACAGATACAAAATTGAATACAGCACTAACTCAAAACATAAATCTCATTTTTAATGTTAGTAATAAAAAGGCAGAATCCTAATATAAAAACTGGAGGAAAGTATTTGTAATTTTTTTCCCCAAAGGTGCAACCAACAACCAATGTATTTTGCAACTGAGATTCCAGTTGTACAAAGGACTGAGAGATGCATTCTCCTTCTTAGGTAGAAGTATAAATGATAAACATTAAAGGGAATCAAATGTGCATTAACACTTAGAGTAACCCCCAAAGAGATGATATTTAATAGCAAAGTAATGGTATAACTTAAATGAACACTGAGAGAAGTGCAACACACTTTTTCCAATTTCAGAGCTTTAAAAGTAAGATTTCTTTTCCTTCATAGATTATTTCCAAAGTTATCTTGCATTTAGTTTATTCTTATGAAATGGCAGAGAATTTTTTTCCTCTTTTTCTTGAGAATATCCTAAATAGATGTTGAGTTTATATCAAACTCGAGAATTTTTAAACAGAGTCAGTGTTATAAATCAGGGAATACATTTGCAATACACTGTTTCAGGAACAAAGGTGCATACACAAGGATCCAACTGCATAATCCAGGACTACAGGTGCAAGGCTGTCCATCCCTGCTAACATGAGCTCCATCAAGTAATGGGATCATTCTTACATACATAAGAATGAGGGCTTTCCGACTCAAGCCCTTTCCTGCTAAAATCCATGTGAGGAAAGCTGTGATGATAACCAATTCAATGCCTTTACCTCAAAAATTACATCTGATAGTAATTATACCCAAATAGTCAAATTAACAAAAAAATGCATATAGCTCTTATGCAGATTAAACAATTTGGAGAATATACTGTTACAAAATATATTTTGACACAGTTCCTAAGAAGCAATTTAAATAGTAATCTAAGCAGAATTATTTACAGGGGACTCAATGTGGGGTATCATCCCTAAGTAAACCAGTATTCTGGTGTGAATTCAATAAAATATTGATGAACGCAAGTTCGTGACACCAAGGAAATTTTCAGTTTTAGTAAATAGTAAAATTGTTCTACATAATCATTAGATGAATCTAAATTATAGAAAAAATTGTCTGAACTGGTTAATCTAAATCATTTAATGCATTTCATTTTACTCAAACTTCAGATCAACAAGTCAGTGGTACACACATTTTGTGAAACAAGTTACCACTTACACGTGTCAGGTAAAACAAGCACAGATTAACCAAGTCTGACTGTACCTAATCAATACTAATAGATGGTTTGTTCTTACTTCAGCACTACTGTTTTTTTAGTAAGCATGTATGCAGATGTGCTGAAACAAAAGGCAGCAATTATAAATATTTATTAGAATGACTACAACTGGCACTTGAGCATAAGCCATCCTGTCATTCTATTTAGAAGCAGTATCTTCACTTATTTGTCTTCTTTTTTTAGTAGTCTTCTATCCTATTAACTTGCAGGATTAGGGATCATCTGGAAATTTCACACTGGTACAAGAAAGGAATGTCTGTTTGATGCAGTCTGGAGATAAAGAAAGAATTGCATTTCAGTTCACTGGAGAGATTACACAGAAGCAACACTGCTAAATGACATGAAATGCAGCAGCAGCAAAGAACAGCCTTCCCTCCACCCATGTCTGGATGGTACAAATTATTGACAACTTATTATTCTGTAAAAGCAATGTTTTTTACTAAAGGTTACAAAGCTATATTTTATCAAAGGCTACATTATTTCTTAATTAAAACTAATAGCCATTATACATGAAGTTACCTGTCTACAGAAGAATAAGGCTGTTTGAAGTGTGATAGCAATTAATTTGAACTTCTTGTTTCAATACTTACAACACTTAAACAAATAGCATCTAGGTGTTTAGTTCTCTAAGGAAATTTCAAACCCCTTATCAACTCATACATCCCAGTGGTTGAAAATGCTTATAGCTAAAGGAAGCCACCAAAGTCAAACAGGACAACTCATTAACATCACTCAATACTGAGTAAGGTATCAGTCTTTTGTCCAAATGCAGAATTTTAGGCAGGGATAACAAAGAATCACAGACCACATTATCCTACATTCTTATTCTCTTCAAGGTATTTTCAAATACCGTGTAGTCCTAGTGATAATTTTTAAAACAATATTTTTATACCTCATTACAATGAAAGCCAATAGGTACTGGTTTTCACAGTCTCCTTTGTATGAATTTTAATATTCTAAAAACTTAAGAAAGTGAGAAAAATGCTACTCTTGTAAAAAGGTAATTCTGCCATGCAGATGCCACTTCAGATCAATAAATAATGATATATAACATTTTAGTAAATTTTAACTTACTACAGTTTCACAAAATGTCAGAGCAAAGCTTACACATCACAGATGTTAAGAGGTTCATTTCATGATCAAGAACTGTATATCACATGGCACAATTATTTATTAGTGTTATTAACTATGTATCACTGTTTTGCATAAAAGGAATAATCTTTTTCAGGTAATTCCATTTTTTCCCCCCCTTCAGATTTCAAAAACATGTGTTGTTGTTTACTCCATAGTAATACTGCTGCCAATTTCAAAAAAAAGTTAGTCTGCTTTATCACATCAAAAGCTGCTACACGGTTAAAATGCTTAAACACTGTGCTTTGACTCAAGTAAACTGCAGAGTAAAGGAGATGCCACAGTACTTATTTCTGGATTTAGATTTATCTCATCATGCAGGTCAGGTAAAAAGTTAAAGCAAAAATCTCCATTTGTGTTTAATTTACATAATGAAGTCCAATAGGTCCACCTAATGGATAAAAAGCATTAAGAGTGGATATGTGGCAGACTGTGTGTCAGCTACCTGAAGGATACATAGAACATATTGTTGCATACACAATCATCATCCTTGTATGTCACTGTCTTAGGCCAGTCATGTAAAGAGGAGCAACACTTACATATTTCTATTTTCTGAACATGCATGTCACTCATGTCAATCAGATTTATTATGCAGGCAGCTTAGTGCTTCCTAGCTTGCTAACACAAGGTTGACAACTAAAGCCAGTTTTCCTACACAAAGGACAGTATCTCAATGGGCAGCAAATACTACATCTAGCACATAATAAACTACTAGTTCTATTTTGTTTTTGTTTTTGTTGCTGAATATTGGTTCCAGGGAGGACTGGGGGTAGCAATGAGTATACATTGTTTATTTTCAAATTTAATAATTTCAAGAGACTTAAAATATTCCCAAGTACATGTAGAATAGAGGCAACATTCATGACAGATGTTCAAAAATCATGCAACAGCAAGATGTTCTTGCTGTGTGACTGAAGGTTGTTTGTTTTTAAATTCAAATATTTCATCCATCTCATCTCAACCTATAAACTGCTTACCTTTAATACAAGAAAAAGAATCTTGTTCTGTGAGCAGCTGCCATGCTTTCAGACATGTTTCTGACTTTAAGATAATTGACAAAGCCTCGAAAGAACAGGAGGAGTCCTGAAGGTGTAGAAAATGAACAAAATGAAGTATATCAACCTGAAATATCCCACTTAAGATTATTCTTAAAAATTCATGGTATACAAAAAACAGAGGCCTTTATGCATCATTTACAAATTTAACAAGCAAGGCCTCTACTTTTACTTTGTATTACATAAGAATATATCATTATGGAATGTTTTTTTTTACACTTATTCTGAGTTAATTTATCATCTGCTAAGAGACTACATGAAAAGCACTAAAAAGAGAATACATATTCCACATGATATTCAGATAAAACTCTCTAAAGAGCTTACAAGTACAAAATTTACTTTGGATGTATTTAAGGAGTCAAAATAAAGAGAACACAGTACAAATTGTTCTTAGAAGACAAAAATAAATATAAATAAATATATATATAAAATATATATATAATAAATATTAATAAATAATAAATAATAAAAAGGACATTATGGCTCAAGATTAAACCTTCTAGAAACCTAGGAAAATGCACTAGCCAAAGATGAATGAAAATATGAAAAGCAGTCAATTCAAAGTAAGCTACTCATCGTGTGTAACAATTTAATTTGAATTGTGGAGTTGACAAAAAGTATTTAATTTTTTTAAAATTCAGACACCAAGAAAAGCACTGTTGTACAGTGAAAATCTACAAAGATGTAGAACTCTTAAGTCCATTTTCCTCTGATAAATTAACTTCAACTGATTTTTTAGCTCTGTTGGATTCTCCTTGACTCAACAGATTAATTCACCCCCAAAGACTTGGAGTTTGAAATCTGACTTATACAGACAGCAGAGAGAAGCAGAAATTTAGAGCAATTCATTGCACAACAGGATGTACTATCTAAGCAGGTCTGTGTTCTTTTTTCCCCATTCATAGGCAAGAAAAAACCCCACTTGCCTGCGGTTCAGACACAGAAAACCAAATTGTAAATAATCAAGGAAGAGCAGAAATGCCATGCTACCCATTTGAGAGCTCATTTATCATTTTGACAAGCATCAACAAAATACAGCAAGTATTAGTAAATATTTTCAAAGTCTATGAAGACAACACAAACCCCTAACGCTGCAAACCCCTAACACTTTATTCTTTTTTTACATCATCTAAGACTGATATGTCGGCACATTTAATCTTTGTATTCCTATGCTGTATCTGGTACTTGCCAGAGCAGCAAAATACACACTCAGCAAGATCAATACTGAGTAGGATCCTAAGTTTAGATTAAATATACATCTTAGCATTTAAAAGGCAAGATGACCACAGTCAGAAAATTAAGTTTACCGTATATATATATATACTTTAGGTAGACAACTGAATTCTAAGGGTAGCTCTCAGTATACAGGGATTGGGTTCATTTTTGTTTTTCAAGAACATGTAGAAACCTTGAAAATATATACCTGTGTTTATATATTTGCATAAACACATTCCAAAGATTCAAATAAAAATTCAAACAAAGATTAACAAATTCAGCAAAGGATTTCATTCTGTTCTCTTATATCTTAATAATGATCTACAGTTACACAGATGTTTTGATATTTGATGCACTTTTTCTTTTTGCTCTCCCAGTTGAAATATTGTTTTATATGCTCATTTCTATTGTAAAAGTTTGTTTTCCAATTTTTATTTTACTTCTCTTTTGCATCTTCAACTTCCTTAAGACATACACAGACCATTAACAAACTAAGGAAAGAAAAGAAAACAACCCTAGAGAATAATATACTGACTACTGGAACCTTGACCTAAGGTTACTTCTATGATTAAGGTGAATTCTGGATGGAAAATCCAGAGTAGTAAGAGCAGCAAGATCTAGATCAAAAATCAGTCTATTAGAAAAGCTGCTACACAGACGTTACCAGAGATAGTCCCATACTCAGCTCAAATCAGCTAAAACAGCAAAAGGTGGTTAAGAAAGATTTTAAGGTGTCTGAAAACATGTCTCCTGCATTACAAGCTGGAAAAACAGTCCATGTTCAACTGATATTTTATATTTCTATTTTTAGAGAAGAAAGAAAAAGCAAGATAATACAGCTTCCATTGTGTTCCTTAGAAAGACACCTTGGCTAACATTTAAATTTAAATATGAAAATTGTCTCTCTCTCCCCAGTTTGTTAGCAACGCATGAGAAGTCTTTGGAAATAGACCATTTCACTTTTCCAAGATTTTTCCAGACTTCAGAAGAAGTGAGGGGAGTATGAACAGATGGGTGAACACTAGAAGAGAAAGGCAGCAAAATGTGGGCTTCAAAAAAAAAAAAAAAGAAAGAAAGAAAGAAAAAAGAAAAAAAAAAAACAGAATGGAAGAGTCAGATTCTATTTACTCACTTTTAAAGAGAAACAGGATATACTACTTAGCACATTCTGATTGGAAAGTTACCTGAAACCATGACAGACAGACCTAGCTGGCAGAATCTCCATAATTTGATAATACTCCTTCATTTGCTATTAAGAAGGTATATAGGAGTAAATCCATGTATAGTATTCTAGTAATTTCAGTTTAAGCCATCTTATCAGTTTAAAAACACTGTTGGCTTATGTCATGTAAAACATTTATAAGACAAAGGAATGCTAATGCTGGATGTAAACTGCATGGATCACAGTGCCTTGGAATAAAAGGTGAGTAAAGCTCAGGCTGAAAATAAGGCTTTCGAAAATCAAAGTGGGCTGACTTCTGAATAGGACAAGTAATATAAAAGAACAGAAAGAAAAAAAAAAAGCACCACAAAGGTTTGCTTTAGAAGTTTATCTGGAGATATTTGAACATGGAAATAATTGTTCCACTTGCTACTTAAACACAATCATCTAAAACAAAATATGGAAGTGTTCAAGGCACTGGTGTTGTGGAATGTTTCATCTGCAGTTTCTGTATGTCTCTAGTAACAAAGAGGTATATAGAGCACAACAGTAGAGGAAGCTATTAAGAAGCCTAGTGAACATCCTCAAACTTTATTAAGAGGAAGATATATAAAATACAGAAAAAATAACTTAATGTTTTAGGCTTTTCTTCTGCGTGATAAATAAATCAAAAGCAATCAGGTCTCTCACTCTCAAAAAAAAATTACTTAACATTTTACTAAGATGTGCTGTTAGACTCAAAGGGAAGAGTGCCACCTACTGAACCAGCAGTTTACCATGCTTCCAGAGCTAGAAAATAAAATGGATAGTAGCACTCATCCTGTAAAAGCAAATCACTCCAAATTTCACATTCAAATCACAAAATCCACAGTAGGAAAAGGGGTAAAATGCTTGAGGTTTGGTATATCATCACTAAAAGTATACTCATCAAGCTTGGTCTTCTGTCTAAAACTTTGAGAACAAGCAGACAGACTTCAGAAAAAGCTGATGTCACGGAAGCACTGTGATCAGAAAGCATGAAGCCATTCTCTTGTTCGACTGAGTAACTACTGAGGCAGTATGCATTTCAAAAGACTAGAAAAGGACATTTTATAACCTATGTGCAAGTTACCTGACTCCACCTTCCTAAGGTCAGTCATATTTCTTAAAACGCTAAGGCTTGACATACAAATCATATATAAGTACTTGGTATCACTCACTTTCACTACATTCTCTGCATAAAACCTAGAAACATTATGCAATTCTGCACCCTTACATCAGCATGAGCAAATTAAAAAGCACGAGTTACAAGTCTCAGGTACATACGCAATTACACTTGTAGAACAGAATTTTCACATGAATGTTAATTGAATAGTCTGCAGTTCACCCAGTAACATAACATGGCAGCAACCTAGGGAACACTACAGAAATATGAACAGCATATGAAACTATCAACAGAAAAATAGAAGTATATAGATGAGCACATTTTAAAATGCTACTCACAAGGACGTGATGTATTTCAACAAAACAGAAATATTTGCCTTTGCCACTTACCAAGTACCAGAAATATCCACCAAAGCCAGTACTGTCCATTGAAATATCCAGTAAAGTAATCTGAAAACTGCAATTTATACACAAGGCTTAGTAAGACAAATGACTAAGACACATTTAATGCTTCAGGCAAATACTGGGAACAGAGAAAAAAGTAAATTCGAGTTAAAATAATGTATTCTCCTAAAATGCAAAACCACTATTTGTGCAGTAGTTTAATATGCAAGAGAAGCTGTCAAAGTCAACACGATACTGGTAAAGTTACTTCCAATCTTTAAAGAGATATTATATGTGTGTGTGTGTGTGTGTGTAGCATGCATATATATATATATATATATATATATATATATATATATATGGCAAGTAATACTTGCTAAAATCATCTGACATTTTCTATCAGGATGAATCACCACTGCCAATTTTTTTTCCTGCCATCCCAAACACATTACTGCAGCCTGCTGCTTCAGATATTAACACCAAAAGCCACATTAGTTTAATCTTATCAGATGGGGATGTTCTGCTGACCCCTCAAAAGAAGAGCTTTTGACCTTCTGTATACCCCCTACTGTTAATCGCTGCCAAGAATACCAGCCCCATAAAGACCTCCAACTCATTAAAGTCTTTTCATTTTCAAACTAGCATTCAGTTCCCAGCAGTGAGCTGAACGCAACTAAATGAACCTTGAAGAGGCATTTCAACTGTTCCTGTTAGTGACCATGGTAGACAGTTTTGTCCTCTCTGATGTGGGAGGCAGCTGGAGGGCAGGGTGTGATGATGTTGGAGACAGGTATCTTTGCCTTTAGCAGACTCCAGACTGCATGCTTCACTGATAAAAAAAAAAAGTCTAATCAAATGTCTCCAAAGCATACGTAAGAAACAGAACAAGGAGATGTGTGAAAAGTTGCTTGAAGGAACTAAAAAACCTTTTTAGTAGCTTTGCATATTTCTCATACACCTCCATTCCTTCATTCAGTACATTTATTGTATCCTGTCCCAGTAGACCACATTTTCATTTCTAGGGCACTTCAGTAGTTATCAACCAAGAAATCATGCAACTCAGGCATCATTTACTCTATAAAAAAAAAGATGCTGAAAGAACTGTAGATATAGCTGTTGGGTTTTGTTCCCCACAAGTGACTGCAGTGAAATTGAAATGTTTTCTTCAAAATATAGCCACCTCCTCTGAAATCTTTAAAGGCTTAATACTGTAATGTATTCATTTCTAATGATAATCCAAGAAAAAAAATAATCTAGAAATAGAATTGCTGAGCTGAATTAAAAGAACAAGTACATAATTTACATACATAAGTACATAATATATAATAAGTACATAATATAAATACTACAGTTTCTATTATTCAGCAGTAAGCATGATGCTTTTCTTAAGTTCATTAAAATATCAAATGAATACTCAATTTCCAGAAGGACTACAGCATTATTAACCCAGATTTACCTGTTTCTCTAAGCACATATCCTTTAAAAAAAGAAACAAAACTTACAAAATATCTTAAAATCACTGATCAATCAAGTACTGGCCTATATGCACTACTCATGCAATTTTTCAAGCAAAAGAAATCATTGTTGCAGAACTTACTGAACAATAAAACCAATTCTATTTGTTTTCTATATATATATTTTTTAAGTTATACGTGTAAAATAGGACTAGTTAGGCATTTTTTTTTCTTACTACTGAATGAAGAAGTGCAACACAAACCATTTGAGGAGATTGAAATAATGTAAATTTTTTGTGCATATGTACACATGTGCATCACCATTAAAACAAAATTGTCAGCATATATCCTATTTGCTTCTGTTATTTTCTCTAGAAAGGGATACAGTACAGGAAGATAACCTCCGCTGTGAAAAAGAAGCCTTGAGGTCTTGGAATTGATCAGATCTAGTGTTTCCAAATTAGTAACAGATTATACAAAAGATTTGAAATACAGGCTACAACTTAGTAATTATTTAAAGAAGTTTAGCATATGTTCATTTTAGTGTTATGAGCGTATTTTCAAGTAGACAAGAACAATAAAACCTGCAACAATCAAGTTCTGCCTTCTGTTTTGTATACCTGAACTAAAGTTTAAAGGAGCTACAGTAGATACATAGTTAAAAAATTCACATCTTGTCCATTAAGACAAATTCCATTCCAAACCTGAATCCACTTAAATATACCAGAATCCCATCTAGTCTGGTAGCATTCCTCTGTCTTGGGGAAGAAAAGAAAATACCTTTCAGATGTAAGAAGGATGAAGGACATGTGCCACCCAAGGCCCCATGTAATCTCTCCTCACTACAAGCCTTGCACTATTGTGCAAAGAGTAAATGAAGTTATATTAGTTGCATGTACAGAAGAAAAAAAATAATAATCAGTGTTGGCAGCACATAAAAGACTACTATTAATCCAAGATCTTCTCCTTCAATAGGCAGGATGAGATTTTAATGGTGTACCAGAGACACATGTAATTCAAGTTCAGAATTATTAAGTTTCATCTAGTATTTTCTCAGAGAAATTGCCTCCGTTTAGTTAGCATAACTTTCTGAAAGTATTTAAGCTGGTAAAAACATGACTAACTTCAAACTTGATTTTGACTCAACACTGTATGTATGTACCTGGTTTTCTTTTCCCTGTGAGAAATAAGAAAGCAGTGTTTTTTTGTTTTGTTTTCCTTTGGTAGGCTGACACACCACTTATAAATTTTTTTTTTAGGAAGCTTTCTGAATAATAAAAATGACATTTTTATATTTGCTCCACTTATGCATGCCTTTAAATATTTGTTCAAAGAATGAGTCAATCTACATTTATTTTAAAGGAAACGCCACGTAAATGGTAAATCAGATAAAAATAGATTAAGTTTCATCGTTACTAAGTACATATGAACATATAGCAAGTAAATTCCCTACTAAAGTGCAAGTTAGAAAAAGTTCTAGGCACTAAGTGCTGGAAATACTTGTTTATAATGCCAGTACTGTATGCTTGGATAAATTATTATGGGTTGGTTCTACAAGTAGAATCAAAAAACATACCCGTACAATGAGAATCCATTTGATCAGAGACAGACCAAATCCACAGATTGCACCATACCTTCCAGCTATGGTATTGGTTATACAGAAGGATAAACAAAATCCAATCCAGTTGAAAATAAATGCCACTATAAAATAAAAGAAACAGTAGCTTATGTTAATCTGTATAGCTAAGTAAACAGACTTCACATTAATTTCACTTAATAACTAAAAAGGACATGCTTACAGAGTCTGCAGTTCCCTTTTGGTAATTCAAGCTGTCAGATTACTTTGAACCCAGACATTCTCAGTGGTATATAGTCACTTAATAATAAAGTAAATGGTAAACAGGATCTGACCTAATACTTTAAACAAGAGAACATTCCAACATGAAAGAAAGTAATACTTTGCTACAGAAATCTGAGCAAACAACAGTAGACAAGAAGGGTGAATGCAAATAAAGGACTTGAGCATACAATATTTGGATTCAAACAGAAAATAAACTTGTTACAATTTTGTGATCTAGTTACACGCACACATGTGCACACCAAGGTTGCATATTCAGCTTTATTCAGTTTGAATAGAACACAGTAAAATCATCTGATCTTGCTCTGCAAACACAGTGTATGAAGTTGAAAAGTTGGTTTTGTTGGTTACTGTCTTCTCTTCTAGATCTATATCCAAGCATCCTCTACATAGAAACTTAAAAAAATGAAGCAATAAAAACAACATTGAGCATGAGTACTATTGCTACTTCTGTTAATTTGATACAGCTCTCAGTAGAAACACAATTACATGTTTCATGTCTTACTGCTCATCCAATTGACACACAACAATGTCATACGTACAGACTTCAGTCTGAGTGCACTGGGTCAAAGTGGGGTAATCCCAATTAGGCAGTATACCAGCCTTGGGAATGAGGGAACTAAAGAAAAGGCCATAAATCAGAACAGCTGAGAGCACTAAAGGAAGATGACAACTCCCAGAAAGGACCAGACAATGTACATGAAGGAAATTAAGCCCACAGTAAACCCAGAAGACATCAAAGAGGCAGGGAGGAATGGATGTAGGACAGAGGAGAGAACTCCTGCACACAAATTCTGAATGGTCTAAGACCCAATACTTGGGGGCAGAGCATTACATCATACAGGAAACGTCTGTCTTGGCAGTAAAAATCTGAACACACAGTAAAACTTTAGGAACAGAAAAACTGTTTCTAGGTAACCCTTTCAAGAGATTTCTTATTTATTTCTTTGCAATTTAAAACCTCGCTATAACTCCTCCAATAACCACATTGAGTCGTGATGATTTTTCCTCAAAAGCAGAAATGGAATAGTTTGTAACACTGAATTTCCATTCACTTAAAGAACTGAAGTTTCAAGAGAAATTTTGAAAGACTTCGCATCATCATCACAGTCATTTTGTACAAGTGAGAAAACATCTTGCCTCTGATGATGATGAGAAAGTTTACTTTTATGTTAATTACTAATAAAAAACCCTCAAAACTTTAAATACACACTGATCCAACCCAGTATATGCAGAAAAGAAATAAACAAATAGTATTTTATTACATATCAGTTGCAGAACAACATGTTAGCAATCCTGACATTTACATAGCTTTCCAAAACAAATAGCATTTACATTTGAGAAAGCTTGGACAAATTGCTCTAGAAGCAGGAATTCCCATTTTTAAGCATGCTTTTCAAATTCACCATACTTTCAACAGTAACATTTGCAGAAGTTAGTTCTTCAGCGTGTCTGTTCCTGCCCCATACACAACTACAGGCTGGGCTTGTTCAGCCTGGAGAAAAGAAGGCTGCAGGGTGACCTCATTGCAGCCTTTCAGCACAAACAGGAGGGGAATCAACTCTCTGAAAGGATAGATAACAGCAGGACAAGGGAAAGATTTTAAGTTGAGGGAGGGAAGATTTAGGTTGGATGTCAGGGGGAAGTTCTTTACAGAGGGAGTGGTGAGGTGCTGGAACAGGCTGCCCAGAGAGGTTGTGGATGCCAGGTTGGATGGGGCCCTGGGCAGCCTGGTCTGGTATTAAATGGGGAGGTAGTTGGCCCTGCATGTGGCAGGAGGGCTGGGGATCCTTGAGGTCCCTTCCAACCCTGGCCATTCTGTGATAACTAGTTACTGCTCTTCCCCTTCATGCTACTGACTGTAACTGACTTGTGGCTTTGACAGGCAAGCCATTAAGGAGAAAGACGACAGACAAGTATATAATGGACTAAGCATAGTACTTACCACTTTTAATGGTTATATATAAAGGCAAGGATTTATAGCACCGACATTTTGTATATATTGTAAAAAGAATAATTTACCCAAGTATACTAAGGGAATTAAGTTCTTAGAGTCAAATTTTTAAACACCACTGTATTTTCTTTTCAAATTATCCTAAGCAAAAAATTCAAAATAAGATCCTCAGTCACTGAGTATCAGGAAGATATTTAACACTGAGTTATTTGCACAACTCCTGAAAGACAAGGCATCAACGTTTTCCAGTATTGCTCAAACTTTATTCCCTTTGCTTTACTCAGTGTGTTGTTCCACCAAGTTAGCATCAGATAACAAAAATGGGAAAGAAAAACCATAGACTGTCTAGAAGCTGTAAATTACGCAAGTTTAGTTTTATTAGGATGCATGAACTAAGTAGTGAGATTTGCCTTCTGCATACGTTTCTACTTATTTCAAAGTCAGAGAGAGACTGGCAAAACAAAGCATCTCTGTCTACAGCTCAGAAATCACTAAATTGTGCAAACTTCTTGCTGCAACAAATGCAACCCTCTGCATTATGCAACAAGAACTGTTTCCCATTCCAAAGATCATATTCATGTCTTAGCCTAACTCTCAGCTACTGTCCTCTTCTCTTTAATAAATTTAAGATATTTAAATTAAACTTTTGCTGTCTACACTGAAGCCATAACTTCAGTCTCTCTTTTTACTACTCTAACAACACACAACAAGTAGGACTGTTAAATGTTTAGGTTTTTATTTTTAAAACACTCTTGAAGTGACAACAAGAAGAGTAAGCATATATGAATATATTTCAAATTACATTTAAAAAAAATCAGCCATTAGAGTTATTTCGTGACAACAAAACTCATACTGAGCAACAGGTAAGAAGCTGCTTTCCAAAAACTGCGATAGGTTAAAATTTCTGTGTTTTCTGTTGGCCTTCAGAGCTGCAAGAACAGAGTGCAGCTTCACGTCCAGGCTATTCATTGATCAGGCCCTCCCATCCCCCCTCCCAAGTCCTTCTCCACAGGTCAGCTCACAATGAATTCTTCTTCCAGTACATACCTGGGATTACTTTACTCCAATCCAAGTGCAACATCTTGCACTTGACCTTGTTGATCCTCATTAGGTTCACGTTGGCCCACTTCTCAAGTTTGTCCAGGTCTCTCTGAATGGCATCTCTTACGTTCTATCAACTGCACCACTCAGCTTAGTACTACCTGTGAATGTGCTGAGGGTGCCCGTGATCCCACTGTCTCTGTGGCTGATTAACATGTTACAGGACCAATGCCAATACTGACACATATTTTATTCCCACAATTTACAGTCAATGCAGAAAACGTAGTTTTTCCATTTCTAATCTTATTACATTAAAAAATCCAACAATAGCAACAAGCATAGTAGAACATATCTATTTCTTCCTCCTCACGTTCTTTCACTCCACTTGCTGATCTTTTCACCTTAGCTTTCTACACCTTCATATTAATTACTCATCTTAAGTTTACTAGCATCTTTTCCATGATACTAAATATAAAACTGGTCTGAAGATATATGTTGGTTCCAAATTTAACCCACAGCTTAAGTCTGTAATGAGATTATAATGGCAACTACATATACAAAATGCAGTCATACACAACTATTTTCTTTATTCCCTGAGTTGTCTGTACAATGAATTTGTTATAGACTTTTTTTGTTGGTGGCTAAGCCAACCTAATCTTTACAATACCTCTCAATTCATGCCTGCTTGCAACCTCCACAGGTAGATTTCCTAGCTTGTGTGCAGTTTATTGACTGAAGCATTTACTAGCTTTAAAAATTGAACATTAGCTTATGAAGGAATAGTTATTAATTGTTCCAACATAGCACCTGGAACAAAATTTAAATTTCTCTGTATTGAGACTTCTCTGATGTTGAGTTGTAGACGTGTTTAAATTGCCCAGAAATTATTCAAATACAAATCACATGTCATCAAGATAAGAACTTGAAATTCAGCTGTTTGATCCATTTGCCACGGAGACTAGCTTCTAAGCAGGTAAGTCTGCATTGGCAACGGATCTGGAGTAAAAAGGCCAACCAAAAATCTCTTTTTAAGGCTTTTTTGAGGCTAGCATCAGCACCACGCTTGTGCTAGGAGCTGGCAGCTTATGGGTGGGCTCCTGAGGCACCAGGGGTAGAGCTGGCACATAAGCAGCACAGTTTAAACACCCATCCTTAACCTTCACACCTGATAATAACCTTTACATAGCTTCCATTACACAAAACACATCAGGTGAGAAACCATTGTTTCTGCTCACTGAGAAAGGGGAGGTTCAGTAAGTGAGCACAGCCTTCATTTCCCATAGGGTGCTACATCTGTGCGTGTGGGAGGTGGGTCTAGTGGTGAGAATTGTAAACTTTGGACCCTCCTTGCTCAAGAGACCAGCTTTTCTTGGCAGTCCCTGCGACCACAGGCCGAAACACGGTCTCCACTACACAGCAGGCTTGTCCTAAGAAGACCATGGCAACCCAGACGGAGAAATGTCACTGTTCAGGTCTATGGCTGCAGGGAGTGCCTGAGCCTGTTGCCTAGGGAGAGTAGCAGGGACTCCACCTGTGTGAGGTGTGAGCAGGTGGATGAGCTACTTAGTTAGGTGGAACTTAAAGATGAGGTGCAGAGACTTAGGGCCATCAGGGAGTGTGAGCGGGAGATCGGTAGAGTGACTCGCTGGCTTACCAGAGGGAAAGGCTCTGGGAAAATACCCCCAGAAAGGTGGTGGACCCCCTGCCCTGTCACAGTTGAATAGACCTGACTGATGAGGAAGGTTGGAAGAGAGTCCCACCTCGGTGTCACAGGACTCCCCCATCTGCCTAGCCCAGTTCCCCAGCTCCCTCTAAGCAACAGGTTCCAGTTGCTGGAAGTTGAAGGGG